GTCAAACCTTCATCGCTTAAATTAAATCATTTCAAGCTTGGCTGGGCTCTCCTCTTCTCTGCCTCCCCTTCATTTTTCATTTCCATCCCTTGCCCATCCTCATTTCAGGAAGACGATCTGCCACTCACGCAAAATTGCTTCCATTTGCATAACTGATGCTTCATTTGGGGCCAAGAACTGTTTCTGTGCCCATGTCATTGCACAATGGCGAGGCGGTGACAGCAATAACAAGCCTATGGAACTTCTCCCACCTCTCAATTTAGGGATCAATCTCGCAGTCAAGGACAAGTGTTTCTTAAGTTGACATTTCCTTCGCTTCACCCTCTGGCTGAGCAGATGTTCAGGCTTCAACTGTCTGCACTTCTCTGATAGGAAGTCTCCGAGTGATTTATGCAGCATTCAGAAGAAAATAGACTAGTGTTTTGTTGGTTTGCATGTGTTCTTTGAAGCTTTGTTGGTTTGGGGTGTTTTTTTTTTATTTGTGGATTTTTCGTTAAGTTTAATTGGGTTGAATTACAATGATGTTGTTATGGCCCTGTTTATACCTGATATTAAGATGTGTTTTAGTTGATTGTATCACAAGACTAAGGAGACACATTCTTATTCACACCTGATGTTCAAATCAGTCTCTTTCTCTATTTTCCACCACTTTTCTGATGAAGGCGGGTCTATGACCGTTTTTTTTTATAGGCTTTCTGAACTTTTAATGCTTTGTTTGCACTGAATGGTATGATTCAGTTCAGTACAGTGCGTTGCTCCTTGTTTTTTCAGGCTTCTCCTTTGTTTTTTCACTCTTCACTCACATGTTTATCTATTTCTTAAAGGATCGGATGTCAGAAGAACTTCAATAATCATGCGCACGTTATTATCATCAGCTCAAGAAGTTTGTTATTTCAAATATAGATGCGTGTTGAGCGCACGTGAGCTCTCTGGAGAAAGTGAAACCACTAGCGCTTTTAGACGGTCTCATAAATAACAACGGGAAATGGCAGATTCTGTTCTTTTTGGCTTTGTGGTTTGAGCTCAGGTTGGCCATGGCTTGCTGTTATATGTGTATATTATTACGATGTAATGTCTTCGCTGTGTATTTAAAAATGGCGCTTTCTTTGTTTTTATTCTCCTGGCTTGTGCACACGCTAGTGACATGTAATAGTGATTTATTATTTGCATGTATTTATACATGTTATTTTTTAAAAATATAATTTCTTTACCTTTATTTCTAATAAGTTCTCTATGCAGCATACTCTTAAAGTGGTTTAGTCAATTTTAGCATATCAAAAACAATAGATTGAGTGTCTTTACAAATAAAATGATTTATTTTATAAAAGTTTATGTGCAAAAAAAAAAAAAATTATATGTATATATATATATATATATATATATATATAGATAGATAGATAGATAGATAGATAGATAGATAGATAGATAGATAGATAGATAGATAGATAGATAGATAGATAGATAGATAGATAGATAGATAGATAGATAGATAGATAGATAGATAGATGTTTTGGATTTTAGAGATCTCTACAAAATCTAAATGATATTACATAGCTTCACTTCTGTTCAAATCAGGACTGGTAAAAGTTAGCATTTTACTTTTAATCCTCAAACCAAACTTAAGATTATTGATGACAAAGTTTAAATCCAATCTAGCAGCATGCATAACATGACCCAAAATGTTTAAAGGGTCATGAAACCCCCCTCTTTCAGTTCAAGTCTACCTCAGAATTAAAAATGCATTTTTTGTGATGGGCGTGGAGCCCTGCAAGCTGAGGAAGGACTGGGCGTGGCCTGCAGAGCAGGGAAAAAAGAGTGGAGCAAACAACTGTTGTCAGTCGGCTCACAAAATGAGACAAACCATGAGGAGACTCATGATTTTATAGTTTACAAAGTTAAAGCTCAAAGAAATAAACAGTAATTTAATGTCCTGCTGCACATGTTTTTCATAATTTCATATGCACATAATAACGATTTGTTATATCATTATAAAGATAATTATGTTTATATAAACACTATAAATGAGAAGGCCTTCTCTCCTCCTGAATCCCCAGGTCTGAATGATGCAGTGTATAGCAGTGCAGCAGGTTTCTTGCCATGTCTATTTAAACACTTAGCCCTACTGGTAATCCAGAGGATTTTAAACATAAAAGCACAGACATAGCTGATGTGTCTAAATGGTAACGAACTCAAGTGATAAAAGACAACGTCCGCCATTCTTCAATTCTCGTACAGCTCTCCTGACAAAAATGCAAAAATAATTTTAAACCCAGAAGATGAAATTTGCTGAAAAAAGCTATAAAAATTATTCAATTTTCCCCACAATTAAAGCTAACAGATGCTAATGTCGTCTTAGCTTATGCTCAAAACACAAATATCTGTTGAAAAAAAAAGTACTTGAGGGTTTCTTGAACCTTTAAGAATAAGGCCAGCAAGCAGAGAATAAAAGGTATTTCGTGACCACATTACCATCTAGCAATACTATCTGATCTAATTTGTTCTCAAATACCAAAGCGTGCTAATGTCAAAACCATTCAAACCGCATTTACACCTGTGCTTAACGTTTTCCACTTGCTTGGTGATCATGAAGATTTGCTCATATCCGCCAATCAGTAAACGACTGCTAAAAAAAGGATCAAATGTAAACTTTTTAAAGGTCAGAACTCTATCAGAACCGAAAAAGAGTTGTAACATTTGACACGCAGGCAGCCGCTAAAAGGACACAGTCCGGGAGATGCTCCATAAAATTGCCATGGTCTCTCGGAATGAGCAATATTGCCACTGACATTTCAGTAGCCGACAGATTCAGCTGAGCAGTTATTACAAAAACCAAAGCTGACAGGTTTGGAGTGCATTAGAGATATTTTCTCCTACAGCGAGCTTTTTTTTTGTTCTACTCTAACTCATTAACTGCTCTCTGGTAACCTCGCTCTGCACTCCCAAACCCAAGTGAAATTCTCTTCATTTCCACAAACATGTTATTTCTTGTTAAGTGAAGATTAAGCTATTAAAAGATTGTATCTGTGCAGGCTTTGAAGGAAGGAAGTTTTTCAGAGGCTCACTTCAAACATGCCGTATTATTATTATTTTACTTTATATCTCTGTTAAAAAATAAATAAATCCGAATATAGATATATAATAATCATAAAGATAATCAAAACTGTGATGCATTCTATATATAAGTATTGCTTAAGTGAAGATGTATTGCTCAGTGCAGAAGAAATGATTCATTTTGTGAAATCATCCTTTTAAAATATGAACTGTAACTGAAATATACAGATACAAATTGACAAAGTGCTTAAAAAAGAATTGAAAAACTGACAAATAATGTTTACATTCCAACCTGTGGAGCCCTTTGCGGTTACCGTTTTAAACCATATTAATATCGTAGACTAAACATAAAGCAATCAAATATCATTTGAAAGCTTAACATGTCTAGTTTCCAAACATTGTAAAAGCCAACAGTCGACTTTATCAAATGAAATAAGTGTAGTTAACTCAAAATTTACTGAAAGTTAATTCTACTAATTTGAGTTTTAACTCAGTGTTGAAGGTAATGAGTTAATTAAATTTCTCATTATTTAAACTAAAATAGAGTAAGATCACAGTACTCATATAGATTTTTTTTTTTTTTTACTCAAATGGTTTATAGCAATCGGTTTCCTCAAACGATTTGAGTTGCCTTAACTTATTGAGTTTAACATAACTCAGTTGGTTTGAGTTCTCTTTATTTATTGGGTTTTACTTTGCTCAAATTGCTTCGTGTACTTAAATAAATAGAGTACAGTGAACTCATTGTCATGTTCAAGAAACCAGTCTAACATGATTCACGCTTTATGACATGGCACATTATCCTGCTGGAAGTAGCCATCAGAAGATGGGTACACTGTGGTCATAAAGGGATGGACATGGTCAGCTACAATAGACTGGTAGGCTGTGGCGTTGACACGATGCTCAATTGGTACTAATGGGCCAAAAGTGTGCCAAGAAAATATCCCCCATACCATTACACCACCACCAGCAGTCTGAACCGTTGATACAAGGCAGAATGGATCCATGCTTTCATGTTGTTGATGCAAAAATTCTGACTATACCATCCGAATGTCGCAGCATAAATCAAGACTCATCAGACCAGGCAACATTTCTCCAATCTTCTATTGTCCTAATTTGGTTGAGCCTGTGTGAATTGTATCCTCGGTTTCCTATTGTTAGCTGACAGGAGTGGCACCCAGTGTGGTCTTCTGCTGCTGTAGCCCATCTGCCTCAAGGTTGGACATGTCCTGCGTTCACAGATGCTCTTCTGCAGACCTCGGTTTTAACGAGAGGTCATTTCAGTTACTGTTGCCTTTCTATCAGCTGGAACCAGTCTGGCCATTCTTCTCTGACCTCTGGCCTCAACAATGCATTTGCGCCTACAGAACTGCTGCTCACTGGATACTTTCTCTTTTAAGGACCATTCTCTGTAAACCCTAGAGATAGTTGTGCGTGAAAATCCCAAAAGATTAGCAGTTTCTGAAAATTCTTCAGACCACCATGTCCCGCACCAACAATCATCCCATGTTCAAAGTCACTTAAAGCACCTTTCATCCCCATTCTGATGCTCTGTTTGAACTGCAACAAGATTAAGGCAGTTCTGAAGGCATAGGGAATCCAACCCGGTACTAGTGAGGTGTACCTAATAAAGTGGCCGGTGAGTGTTGTAGGGAATCTAATTTGGTGCATTTGAACAAAACAGATTTATTAAACGGGTATATTTATTAAAAATAATATTTTATTCACTGAACAACTTTAGAAATAGAAAGATAATACATTTAAATTCTGCAAACTACATAATTTCAACAAAATGGTATATATTTTTTTTCTCTCGATTTTTGCACTCATTTTTATTTAATAGTTTTTTTCCCAACATATAAATTTGGAAACTTTTTTGGACTGTTATTTCAAGTTATTTGGTTAGATTAGCTCCAGACTAGACCATCTAATGTGTATGCACAAATATAACATTGTAAAGCGTCCCATAAAAAATATTTATTCAATTATTAGTCTCATATGCTGATATCTAGTGCATTAGAAATAAAACTTGCAATAATAAGAAAGAGTCATGAAACATTCAGCTTTGCTATGCACATTTTTATTTACAGGCAGGAATGTGCAGTAGGGTAAAGGTGTAAGGAGGTGTCAGGGAGGAACGGTGATCCGCTTCAGGACCAGCAGAAGTTGGGATTGTGCTTATTGATCCTCAAGTGTTTGAGTTTGGGATCATTTCTGTAGCGTTTCAGCAGGAGATTCCTTTCAATTTGCTCCTCCTCCTTCCGCTGTTTCTTTTCCTGCTTTTTCTTCACCTTCTCCTCCATCAAGCTGAACAGAACCAGTGGGTTGTAAATCTTTGGCTTCTTCGTCTTGATTTCAGTGTACGCCTCATCACCAGACACCTCATTAAGTGGGTTTTGTATGACCTGCGAGGCTCCCTTTTCTTCATGTTTCTGGACCTCCGTAACTTCCTCCTGCTCCAACCAGGCCTCCATCCGCCTCGGTTTCATTTCAGACTCATGGGAAGCTTCTATGCTTTCCTCCGTGTACTCCATGAATTCAAGCTCCTCATCCTCAAAGTCAAAGAGCATGAGGCCTGAGCAGGGAGAAAACTCAGATGCTTGAGGCTTCACAAGAGACACAACCTCCTCAAATGCAAAGATCGGAGGAATCGGCAGTGTTTCAGGAGGACTCTGGAGGAAGGACAGTTCACTGACTGAAGGAATCGAGTGCAGAGAAGCCACCTCAGAAGAGCTCTGGAGGGGAAGGAGGACTGGTTCTGGAGAGACACATGGAGCCACTTGGATGACTGAGCTTGGCAGCAGGTGCTCAGCTTCCTCAGCAGGCGTTTGAGGACTTGAGGCTTTGAGGCGAGAGGCTGGGAGAACGAGAACTTCAGGATGTTCAGGTAAATCTCCAACAGGTGCTAAGGAGGAGAAACAGGCTGAAGCTGGCAGAGGTTTGACCTCAACAAGATGAGGAAGTGACTCTTTGTTTATCAGCAGAGGTTTGAGGCAAGCAGCTGGGAGAGCGAGGACATCTGAATGTTCAGGTTGATCTCCAACTGGAGGTAACGAGGAGAAACAGGCTGAAGCTGGCAGAGGTTTGACCTCTATGGGAAGAGGAAGAGTCTTGTTGTTTTTCAGGTTTCTCCTCTGTCCTTCAGGTTCTCCTTTTCCTCCTGTTGGAAAAAAGGAATATATTTTTTTATATTTTTGTCTTTTTTTTATTAAACAATTATTTGTATTGTTGATTCCATATTCCAACACTCCCTCCACCAGCTTTTCTAAACTCTGCACCTCTTTTTTTTCTTGGCAGACAGGTACTCACCTTCTCTCTCGAGGATCTGTATGTTTTTATCTTCAGCCTTGACTTTCAAACCCTTCTCCTCTTTCCTCGGTCTCTGTCCATGATGGGACTTCACCTTGCGGTGTTTCTTTGTTGACTTGGCCTTGCTTTCTCCTGCCTCTGCACTTATCTCTGCTTTCTGAGGGCTCAGCCTTCTGCCCCAGATAGGTGTAAAACCTGCAGACAGCGGCCAAAATCCCCTTCTAAACAGTGACATTTTGAACAGTCAATTCTGTAACTGAATTCAAAAGTAGTCGTCAAAAAACGCTGAAAGACACAAAAGTAGCTCTGAATCCGTTCACTCCTAAACACACCAACAGCAGTCAAAGTCGGAACAGCAGTTTAGAACAGCAGTTCAGAGTTCTAATCATGATGTCATGGAGGAGAGCTCAGCTGAAGGGTCATTTTGAATCAAAGCAGTTTAAATGAAACATTTTTAATGTAATTCGTCCATCCACCCTTTTTAAATGAATCATGGATGTATAGCATGTTAAACTTTGAGATTTTATATATATATACATACAGTTGAAGTCAGAATTATTAACCCCCCTGAATTATTCGCCCCCGTTTAATTTTTCCCCAATTTCTGTTTAACGGAGTGAAGATTTTTCAGCACATTTATAAACATAATAGTTTTAATAACTCATTTCTAATAACTGATTTATTTTATTTTTGCCATGAAGACAGTAAATAATATTTAAATGGATATTTTTCAAGACACTTCTATACAGCTTAAAGTGACATTTAAAGGCTTATAATGATGGTTTGTTCTTAGACTATCGAAAAAGAAATTAGCTTAAAAGGGCTAATAATTTTGTCCCTAAAATGGGTTTAAAAAATGTAAAACTGCTTTTATTCTAGCTGAAATAAAGACTTTAATAATAAATATTATCAGACATACTGTGAAAATTTAAACATCATTTAGGAAATATTTGAAAAAGAAAAAAAAATCAGGGGGACTAATAATTCTGACTTCAGGTGTGTGTGTGTGTGTGTGTGTGTGTGTGTGTGTGTGTGTGTGTGTGTGTGTGTGTGTGTGTGTGTGTGTGTGTGTGTGTGTGTGTGTGTGTGTGTGTGTGTGTGTGTGTATATATATAAGATAATATGAAGTGTGGGTTGGTGAAGAGAAAGTGGTAGGGAGAAAATACTGAATACTCATTAAAAACAGTTACCTTGTAAAACATGGACTCTGATGTGATGATTGTTGAAACCAACTCTGGTGCTTTTATAGACTATTATATGTAAACGAGAGAAGAACAAATGGGTTGTTGATAGAAGTTATACAGCTGTGGCTGGAAATTAATGGTAGTTGCTTATAAAATTACCCATTAATTGTGTTTTAATAACATCTTCCCTAAGCCTAAACCTCAAAGTAATGTAAAACAGTTATTATACAGAGTATTATTCAGTTTATTCAATAATTTATCCATAAAATTGTATTTTATTTACATGTACTCATATCCCAAGTCTGAACCTAACCCTCAACGTAATGTAAAAAATATACAGAGTATTATTTCTATTATTTATTCATTTACCCATTAAATTGTATTTTACTAACATCTTCTTTTATCCAAACCCCAAACCCAACACTCACAGTAATAAAAATATTAATTATTGTTTTAACAGCATCAAAAAAATTATGCTATACTGATGTGAAAACAGCTGTATCTCTTCTGAATTTTACAGTATAAATGGCTGTCATGCCGTTTTGTCATGCTTTAAATTTCATTTTAATTCAGTATAAAATTTTCATTTTTATTTGGTTAACACAAAAATAACCACAAAAAAGCTCAAAACAGAATAAGTAATCCTGAAAAACTCCTTGAACCTAATAATAAATTAATTTCATTTAGCAGAAACACTTGGTTCCAAACTAAATTTGAATGATCTTTTTTTTTTTTTTTTTTTTTTTAAAGATATATTTAGAATATAATTTATAACAGTTCATGACTTTTAAAATAAAACATAGTTGGGAAGAAAACATTCTATATGAAGAGTTCAGATGCAACAGTCCGTCTGAATTATTATTAATTTTTTTAAACGAGCATCTTCCTCAGCCTCCTTTGTTTATGTTCCTTTAATTCACTTTAAAAGCAATGAAAATGAACTATTGACTGCCATAATAGTAAAATTACAAAACCTACATACAGAAGCCTGATGAACATTTCAGACAGCATTTAACATTTAAAGCTGGAAATTAAATTATCAGGTAAATGCTCAAATTCTGAACGCGTAGTAAATGGATCATATACAGTTGAAGTCAGAATTATTAGCCCCCCTTTTAAATTTTTATTGTTTTTTTTTTTTTTATATTTCCCAAACTATTTTTAACAGGGCAAGAACATTTTCACAGTATGTCTGATAATATTTTTTCTTCTGGAGAAAGTCTTATTTGTCTTATTTTGGCTATAATAAAAGCAGTTATTCATTAAAAAAAAAAAAAAAAAAACATTTTAAGAACAAAATATTTAGCCCTTGTAAGCTAATTTTTTTTCGATGGTCTACAGAACAAACCATCATAATACAATAACTTGCCTAGTTAACCTAATTAACCTAGTAAAGGCTTTAAATGTCACTTTAAGCTGTAGGGAAGTGTCTTGAAAAATATCTAGTAAAATATTATTTACTGTCATCAGGGCAAAGATAAAATAAATCAGTTATTAGAAATGAGTGATTAAAACTATTATGTTTAGAAATGTGTTAAGAAAATCTTCTCTCCGTTAAACAGAAATTGTGGAAAAAAATAAACTGGGGTTAATAATTCTGACTTCAACTGTAGAATAAAATCATTTTATATTATACAATAATTCAAAACATGAATCGGCAGTAGTGGGACTTTGTAATAGTCTGCCTATGCATGTTCGAAAGGGCCAAACACTTTCTGCTTTCAAGTTTTAGTCTGTGAGAGCCATTATTTTATCTTATTTTATTCACCTTTTTTATACCACAAACATCTTTGCTTCTGCTACGTTTGAGCTTCCGTTTACCCATATTTAATATGCAGATGTTGGAAGAAAATACAATGCAAAAATGTAAATACTTAAAGTATAAATAAAATTGGTGTTATATATATTTTTTCTTTGTCATCAGATATTTATGACTGCAATCATGTCCTGTATTCGAACATATCTGTTTTTGAACTTAAATGGTTTGTTGCAATCGGTTTCCTCAAATGGTTTGAGTTACCTTAACTTTTTAGGTTTTACAGTGTAAATGTTGACTGATTTTTTAAGAATTATTACCGAGCAACAGTTATTTATATTTATTTTCAACAAGAATATTCATCTTTTTAAAGGGTCTTAAAACATTACTTTGCTACACTGAAAAATCAAAGTTAATTCAAAGTGTTTAAGGAAACCGATTGCGGCAAACCATTTAAGTTATGAAACCAAATTTGAGTCATGTAATCACATATCATTCGTGTTTATATCTTCATACATTTAGAGTATTAAACATTTTAAGTCCAGTTTCAGTTGAAAGTTCAGTGAGAGTTCAGTTAATAGTGAAATCAACTATATAATGGTTTGATATTGCTTGTAGCATTGGAGTTAAATTAACACAAAAACAGAATTAATTCATTCATAACTTAATCGGTTTGAGTTCTGCTTAATATAATCAGTTTATGAGTTACCATAACTTTTTCATTAAGTCAAAGCAACTTTTTAACTAATTTATTTCGTTTAGTGATTTTCACTTTACAGCAATACATACAGTTGAATTCAGAATTATTAGTCCCCTTTTGATTTGATTTGATTTTTTCAAATATTTCCCAAATGATTTTTAACAGAGCAAGGAAATTTTCACAGTATGTCTGATAATATTTTTTCTTCTGGAAAAAGTCTTATTTGTTTTATTTTGGCTAGAATAAAAGTAGTTATTAATTTTTAAAAAAACATTTTTGGGACAAAATTATTAGCCCCTTTAAGCAATTTTTTTTTCCGATAATCTACAGAACAAACCATCGTTATACAATAACTTGCCAAATTACTCTGACCTGCCTAGTTCACCTTATTTACCTAGTTAAGCCTTTAAATGTCACTTTAAGCTGTATAGAAGTGTCTTGAAAAATATCAAGTAAAACATTATTTACTGTCATCATGTCAAAGATAAAATAAATCTGTTATTAGAAATGAGTTTTTAAAACTATTATGCTTAGAAATGTGCTGAAACAATCTTCACTCCATTAAACAGAAAATGGTGAAAAAAATAATCAGGGGCGCTAATAATTCAGGGGGGCTAATAATTTTGACTTCAACTGTATGTAAACTTTTTTTTAATGTTTTTTAGGGGGTACATTTAGATCAAATACCACTAAACTGCCCGTACTTTATTGGAATTTGATGTGTACTTTACAAATATTGTCAAAAGTATGAAAAAAAAATAGTTCATATTCTTCTCTAACTCATCAACCGCTCTCTGGTAACCTCGCTCTGCACTCCCAAACCCAAGTGAAATTCTCTTCATTTCCGCAAACGTGTTATTTCTTGTTAAGTGAAGATTAAGCTACTAAAAGATTGTATCTGTGCAGGCTTACAGGCTCACTTCAAAAATTCAGTTTTTTTTAAACGTAATACTTTTACATTGGTTTCCTATTCATGCGAAGAACATGAAAAGCCTGCAGATAGGTGTGCAATTAATCATCTGTTTCAAGTTTTAAATGGAAAAAGGCTTTGTAGGAATGATAAAACACCTTGTTTTGCTCTCGTTTTCAATCTGAGATTTTTGTAAAGGAATTGCGGTAAGGCTACAGCGAATCAGGCATATTACAGGATTACCGTTTTAGATCGAGGCATAGTGATCTACTCCTGTTTCCATCCTCATTTTAATAAGAATTTCTGAGTGAATCAGATGCTGTTTAATTATTTACAATCTTTTTTTTATTACGAGTTTCTTATATGGGAAGCATATCGGTATCCTTTTTGAATTAGTTTTTTATTAAACCTGTTCTCTTGATCAGCAGCATGCTTAAAGTTCCTTTTCTTTGATTTCGAATTTTTTCTTTGTGTCAAAATCTGTAGGGAAATTGTATGACTAATCATGGTTATTATTCTTTTATGCGCTCTCCCTTTCTACTTGAAAGTATCAAGGTCATGAGAGGAAAGATAGAAGAGCTGACAAGAGTATGAGAGAAGGCTGGCACACAATTGACTGACACCTATCAGTGGCTCGGTATGAAGTAGCTGTCAAGAACAGGGCAAAGTAATGTCATGAACTTTGAGATTTTGCTTTAGGGCCAACATTCTTTCACTTTTAAGGCAAGACATTTAACAGTAAACACAGTAGCCAGAGAATTTGATAAGTAAAATTATAGCTATCACCATATTTCCTCAATTAAGTGAAAGTCATAACCTATTAATGGGATATTAGGTTAGTAGTGGAAGTGAAAGGGTTTGTAGTGAAAGTCGTAACCTATGGTCTGAATTAATACATTTAACCTAATTAATGGTTTGCAATTTTTGCAGTCCAAGTTTTCTAAATGAA